TCTCTCTCTCTCTCACACACACACACACACACACACACACACACACACACACACACACACACACACACACACACACAAAGGGGGTCCGAAAGGGGGTCCGAAATCCCCCGACAGGTGAGTGCGCTGGGGGGCCCGGCTCCCAACCGGGTGCCCTGCCCAGCCAGGCCGCCCGGGATGTTACGGACTCCACCAGGGCTCGATCCCTGGTCTATCTTTTTGCCGTTTCGACTGCATCCCGTTTTCGGCCTGGCACCCTTTTTCCAAACCCCTGCTTTGGTACCGTAGGATTTTGGACAACTGGCGCCATGCTGCAATTCGGGCGCCACTTTCAAATACCGCATTTTTCAGTTCTGCCCTCGGGGCCTTTGCAGAAATGCCCCTGGTACCGTACGTGTCACCGGTACTTATACGGGCTCCCCGTACGGTACGGGGACCAGTCTCGCACCAGTTTTCAGCTGCTGTGCTCGTACTCAGTGTGACTTGCTCCTGTTTCGGCATTCGGAATCAGAGACTTCGACTTTGTGTCTTTGCCACTGTGTCTGCGTCCAACCCTCGGTCGTGTGTCGAGTGAGTGAGTGTGTGTGTGTGCTCTCACTCTCTCCCTCTCTCTCTCCTCCCCCTCGGCTCGTTCTGTTTTCCCTCAGCCTCGCACTCGTCCCACTGGTATCGGAGGGGCTTGAACCCGCCCGACCCACCCTGCTTCGTCGTCACCACCTGGCCATCATCAGCATCACCGTCGTGATCGTCGTCGTAGTGCCACGTCATCGTCGTGATCATCGCCGTCGTGCCACGTCATCATTGTCATCGTCGCGATCGTCATCGTCGTACCACGTCATCATCGTCACCATCGCAATCGTCGTCGTCGTGCCACGTCGCCATCGCCGTGCCCGTCGTCCTCGTCGCCGCGCCATGCCATCCTCATCATCGTCGTTGCTACCTCCGCGCAGATAAGTAATCGATGACAATTTATTTTATTTTATTTTATTGTTCTTCTTCTTTCTCTTCGTTCTTTTCTTCTTCTTCTTCTTCTTCTTCTTCTTCTTCTTCTTCTTCTTCTTCTTCTTCTCCTTATCTTCCTCTTCTTCTTTCCTTCTGCCCCCCGACCGCCGACGATCTTTCCCCGGCCCGACCCCGATCTCCCCGTCCCTTCCCCCCTCCGCTATCCGCTAGTCCTCCCCCGTGCGTTTCCCCTTTCCCGCGCGATTCTTCCTCCCTCCTCCACGCGATCCCGACTTT